TCCGCGAACTCCGCACTGGGTGACGAACACGACCCGTGCCCATTTTCCCTGCTGTGACACATGGTCGTGGCTTCCTGTGGGCGAGGGGGACTCTTCTTCCACACAATAACCGCCTCCCCACCCGCCTTCCTGTCCTCCACACCAGAAGTCGCCTCAAGCAAGGTTAGTGTTCTCTCTCTTCGTACTGTACTGTACTTTGTTTCATATGTTTGTGGTTAAAAAAAAAAATACATATGGTTCAGAACGGATTAACTGTATTTACAGTGAACCTTATGGGAAAATTTGATTCGATTGGCGACCAAAATCGGTTGGCGACCACATTCGTAGGGGTCAGAATGGATTAACCGTATTTAAATTGAACCTTATGGAAAAATTTGATTCAGTTCGCGACCAATTCGGTTCACGACCAGAGTTGTGGAATGAATTAAGTTCGTGAACTGAGGTACCACTGTATTTTATTAAGATAAAATTTATACATATAGCCAGTTCCGGAAATGAAACTGCACAATGCTACATCTTGAGATACTTTATTTTGCAAAGTGTGAAAGAAAGGAATAAAATATGGGGGGGGGGGGAAACGGCATTGTTGTAAACATCTGTAATCACATTTCTAGATTTATATATATGCTGGTGGGCAACAGGTGCATGTCATGCTTGTACAGACTAATGAGCTATTTTATTTATTTAAAATTTATATCTCCTATAATTATATTTAATATTTATTATCTCATCAATATTATATCATTAGAATTATAAAAAATACATGTGTGAATTGAAGTATTTCATGTTAATTCCTTAACCGTATCGGTGCATTTGCAAATTTATTATTTACCAGCAGCATTTATAACCCACTCCAGTCCCAAAGGACTATGGTCAGCACATAACATCTTAAAACTAAAAGATAAACTCAAAACCACCCTCTTTCTTTCTAATTCAGAGAAGATGGGTAGTAGAAACTATATTTCTTCGGACCATGCAAAATTAGCTATGCTAGCAGTAAGAAGATGCTGAAATGTGTGTTAGGACAATATTTTTATTAGGGATACTCTGTGATCACAAAAAAGTGGAGGATTTTTGGAATTCTAGGTAAGGGGTTAAAAAAGCAGACGTAGCTGGGGTGAGGGGGCAGACTGTGAAGAAGAGAGAGTGGTATGGTACTAAAATCCTGATGTCTGTAGGGTTCTAGTCCCAAGGGAAAATGTTGGAGGATGCTGTGGATATTCACCTTAGACTGCACCTCTTGTAATAATTGGAGGTAGAATTGGACTCATGGAATGAAGAAAAAGTGGTAAAACTCCTATTGCTTAATTTGAAAATATCAAGTCACGTTGGATCTTCTGTACTATTTTTAAAATATAACACCCATCTCCATAATTAAAATATTTTTGAAACGCTGTTTGAAGACATTTTTCACCATTTCTGCAAAGATATTATTTACTTAGACATTTTGTTTTCAAAGCCCTCAGTTCTCAATGAATCCAATCATGAAAAAAATTTAATCTGGCTCATGCTAGACTAACCTAGTTGTCATCACTGTATAGGAAACCCTTTATCTACAGTTTCACTCATAAGGAAAATAACATTTTCTGTGAAACTCCATTTAGTCTTACAATATTACAGTTGGGCATGTTAAATGTGTATCATTTGTGTTGTTTAATGTACTTGAAAATGCAAGGAATGTTGCCAGGCTGCCAACTCAGGTGATTGTTTAGGAAACATATTAATTTCTCATCCAATATTCTTCGGTCAGTAATTTAGTGCCACCCAAGTGCTCTATAAACAAAGTAGGTGGAGCCAATTTTATTGCAGAAGGTGACCATCTGCAAGTGGATCAACAAAACATATTTCCAGGCTATTCTCTTTATTTGGTTTTCATTCTCTTTTTTTTCTCCTTGAAACGTATATCTTTCTTCAAGCATATGCCATCAACAGGAAAGTATTGCAATTCTAAGTATTGCAAAAAGCATTGCAATTAAAAGCAAGAAGCTAAATATGTAAATAATTTAAATTAGTATCTGAATGCTATTATCTAGTCTCCTCTAGAGATGAAATGCTATTCCTGCAAGGTAGGGATTTACCTTCCTGGATACAGACTTTGACAAAGAGAAACAACTGTCAAAACAGTCTTTAGGCTCATTAAGCCCAGATAGCTGAGGCCATATGATGTGAGAAGTCTGTGTGTGTGTGTGTGTGTGGGGGGGGGGATATAAGTGTAAAGGGGAAAAAGTGCCAGCCTCCCAAATGTTTATGTGGAATTTCAAGAAAGAGTGCATATTTGCAGTATATATGGTTTTGTGAATCTTGCTTGTGTTATTCCACTCTTGTGTTTACTTGCTTTTCTAAATAAATGTTAGATGCTCTTTGGTGTGTTGCTATGCCCCTGGGAACATGTGATGACATCCTAGGATGCCTTTAGAAAGGAGCAATGATTAGAAAGTTCTCTCCTGGGCAAGTTTCTTGGCACTATCACATTTGGTTACTAGATGGTATCTTTCCTTTTTCTTTCTTCTTGTAGCAGATGCTTTGACAAAGCATCTTTTCAAGTTCCCTTCAAGCCTTTGCAGGTTGGTGGTGAGCAAGACAAGAACATTAATTCTAAGCCAAGGCTATCAGGGTGTATTCCTTACTCAAGATATGCCCAGCTAATCTTTTTTGTCATTTTGTGTGATGGTGTGAAGGAATCCTAGCTTAAATATTGCAAATATGTAGCCCTTTTGACAAGACTCTATACATTTGCTTCAAGAGAACATTAACTGAAAAGGCAGGGATATTTGAGGGTGGGAGCTTTAAAACTAGATCTGATTAGATGAGTGCTGCAAGAAACAATTTCTTTTAAGGCCTTGATAATAGTTCAGGTATGATTCAGTTAATAAGTCACTTGCTGAGATGATGGTCATACAAATTGAATGAATAAATAAGTATTCCTGATTGGGGAAATAGTGTGGAAGTGAAAGACTTTGAGTTGAGACACACCCTTAAGCCCTCAATCTGTTTCCCAATCTGGGAATTTTTAGAGCATGTCATGATGCTTCCACAAAGGGAGGGGTTTTTCCATCCCAAAATGGTTGCCATGGCCAATTGCAAAACAATAAGCCAAGTGGGGCATTGATCCACAAGGACATTAAGGGCAGAAAATCCAACATTGGGAACTCTGTATTTCAGTTTTCCAGCACTGTGTTCTTCTCAGTTAGGAATACCACAATATCTCTGTACCTTCGAATTGTGTTGGATGCTATCCATCTGCCCAGTCCCACCCCGTTCCTTGTATAGTGGGGAAGGCTACTGCAGAGGAATGAGGCAAAATGGACTTGACACCTTCTTACACCAGTGTTATTTTGTGCAGGTAGAGGGGACCATATTTGTGTGGTGCTCCTCACCTGTGACATATCTCCATGTGATTTTTATCAGAGCAGTAGGGGTGGGATTGCAGGAAAGCAGTTCCTACTCCAGAACAGCTAATTACTTGAACTTCC